TCGAGGGATCTCTATTTTAACCTAATTTTGTCGTGCATGGAATAAATACATAAGTATAGTGGTTAGCTAAAATTGAACATCCCGTGGATGTGTTTCCTCGCGATGAAATGTTCCTTTGATCGATCCACCCCGAAAATTAAGGGTAGAAAAAGAAAGGGGAAAGCAGAATGGAAGATAAGAGAAATTGGGTAATAAAGAGGAAAGCAAGTACTATAAATTTTCTCTGGCGATCCTCGATCCCGGAATTCTCTGGATCTCCTCGCACCTCGTTCTTTTCGCGAAAACGAGACACGGACGGGCATCGTCGCGCGGAGAATCCTCTGCGAAGCGGATTCAGCTCGTCATTTTTCCTCGACGATATTAAAGAACCGGCCGAGCGTTGTAACGCGCGTCGCTTCGGGCGCGAACCTTTGATTTTATCATTGAATCATTGAATGGACGGGCCGCCGCGGCGGGGGGAAGGATAAAACAGCCACGGGAAGGTGCTAAATATTTACGGGGGACACGTCACTGTTTATTGCGCCGAAGTGGCGAACGAGGAACGCTAGAGAATCATATCGTACATTCCAGTAACGCGGCTTTATTGCCGGCTTTCTTGATTACTTCGCGCTTGTACCACAAGCGGACGCCTCAAGGTCTCGAGGATTTGTCGTCAGCGATTGGTTGTCGTCGGTTGTCATGATTCCTCTCCCTTTCTTCTTTCTTTTCTTACCTTTCCTCGTTTTTTTCTTACACAAATTCGCGAACCGAGGTGTTAATTGGGTCTCGGCGTAGCTGTGGATCACGTGGATCGGGATTTTTCCATTCTTACCGGTTTATATTTCGTTGCGATGTAAATGTGAGAACGTGGCAGGTCTCGGAGTTCTCAGTCGTTAGTTATTCATTGTCCGTTATTAATTTTTAGTCATTAGTTATTAGGTATTGGCTCTGAGTCTTGACTTACAAGATCGAGGTGATAGTTTCTTGTTATCGTATTAATTCTGAGTTCTGAGTTCTGAGTTCTAAATTCTGAATTCTGAATGCTATGTTCTAAGTTCTGAGTTCTAAGTTCTAAGTTCTGAATTCTGTGTTCTAAGTTCTATGGTCTCAATTCTGAGATCTAAGTTCTAAGTTCTGAATTGTGAATTCTAAGTTCTGAATTGTGAATTCTAAGTTCTGAATTGTGAATTCTAAGTTCTAAGTTCCAAGTTCCAAGTTCTGAATTGTGAATTCTGAGTTCTAAGTTCCGAGTTCTGAGTTCTAAATTCTAAGTTCTATGTTCTAAATTCTATTTTCTGAATTCTGTGTTCTAAGTCCTATTTTCTGAATTCTGTGTTCTAAGTCCTGTTTTCTGAATTATGTGTTCTAAGTTCTATTTTCTGAATTCTGTGTTCTAACTTCTATGGTCTGAATTCTGAGATCTAAGTTCTAAGTTCTGAATTGTGAATTCTAAGTTCTAAGTTCCAAGTTCTAAGTTCTGAATTGTGAATTCTGAGTTCTGAGTTCTAAGTTCTAAGTTCTAAATTCTAAGTTCTGTGTTCTTAATTCTGTGTTCTAAGTTCTATGGTCTTAATTCTGAGATCTAAGTTCTAAATTCTGAATTGTGAATTCTAAGTTCTAAGTTCCAAGTTCTAAGTTCTGAATTGTGAATTCTGAGTTCTAAGTTCTGAGTTCTAAGTTCTTAGTTCTAAGTTTTAAGTTCTCAATTCTGAGTCCTGAGTTGTAAGTTTTAAGTGCTGGCTAATGAGCTACTAGATTCATTAGTTAAAACTATGTCAATGCTTCTGCATGGTATTACGGACCACAGCAGGGATTTCAGAAATTCAACGATTGTATTTAATTGAATTTCCTCGTGCACCTTTTCCTTAACATCCGTGCAGTTTATTCGCGCTAAATTCCACGCGACGATTCCTCGCGCGTCATTCTCGCCTCGAAAAATATGTTCTCGTTGTCTGGCGAATTTTATCGCCTTCACCGGTGACTTCATCGCGTATTTCGTCTCGGAAAAAGTCTCTCTTTTATTCCCCGAAAAGTCAACCTCGAAACGAGTTTAGAGAAGACGAAGTTCCTCAAACCACCCAGCGAGGTCTCCCCAAAATTTGTCCAACTTCTTTACGACTCTTCGCAACTTCTCTCGCGTTGCAAACACGAAGTTCGGATATACACGCGCGAAGACACGAACGATTATTGAAACAGAGGGGGCAGAGACCAAGACGAAGTTGAAGTTTCGTCGAGACTTGCAAATCCGCGATATTCGACTCGGAAAAGGAAGAAACACGTAGAAGAAAGGAAAGGAGAGAAAAATGTGGGCAAGCAGTAGGTCATCGTCTATTTTATAGCACGGGGGGTGAACACTCCTCTACGAGGCCGCCCTCGCGAGCATTTCTTCGCCAAATATGGTCGCGACGCCGGGTGTATCTTAATCCAGTGATCACGGTCACGCGAATTGTCTCGTTCGAAGTCGGCGTCCCTTCCGCTAGAGGGCTAATAAAGTCGTCGGGCCCAACCCTTGGTTACGGGCGCGCTCGAACGCGTCGCGATTAGATGGCCTTGGGAGATGAGGCGCCGACGAGGTCACCCTTGCAAGCTCCAAAGGCGACCGAGATCCTGCGCGGATACGCGCGGACGCAGGCTGAATCTGAAATCGCCTGGCCCCCGAGTCGTCGGCTGCCTCCTCTTTGCAAAGTCAAGGTGGTTCCGCGGATCGAGTCGATGGGACGCCATGGTGCGTCTCGATGCTCCGTAATTGGAGATGTAGCTTCTTCCAAAGGGATGATAATTAAATTATCCTTTGATTCCATGATAGTGTGTCTTTTGAGCAGTTGCTTTAACATTTAGGAATATTTCTGGTTTAATTTTCACCTGTTTGTATTGGCAATGATATTCTCAGGATGGAGTCAATGAGATATAGTGCGTTTCGATGCATGGTAATTGGTATGGTTGATAATTAAATTATCCATTGACTCAACTATAGTGTGTCTTCTGCAGAGTTGATTCAATACTTGGAAATATTTCTGCTTCAATTTTGACTTGTTTGTACTGGGAATGATATTGTCTTTGCTAGATGGGAAAGATGGATTGGCTAGATTACTTTAAAAGTTTGCGAACTTTGTTTTCGTGCCGTTTGTCTCGTGTCATTTGTCAGGATTAACAGGAAACGATTAATTTTTGTTGTTTTTAATTTTCTTTTATCATTCGTTTTAAATTCTCGTTATTTCGAGCACACGTTTTATTATGGTGCATATAGGTTTCTTTGTGCTATCCGATTGGTCCTGCTGATGGTATTCGGAGACGATTCAGCAAGTAGTATGTTGCAGTTGCGGTCAGACATCACGAGTATTTTTAGATCCTCCTTCATGGACATCTTGTTTATTTATTCTCGTCTGAGGAGCGCTTATAGTGCTTGGATAAAATCCATTAGGTAAATCTGAACAGTTAATGCGCGTAAATTATTACGTATTATGTTTTAAATTCGATATTTTAAACGTTATATATACCATTACGCCTTTGACATTAAAGGAATTTAATTACCAGTGTAAAATCCGTGACTGCCGTGACGTTTAACGCGTTAATAGATACCGAAGGTAGCAGCGAGAACTGAATCATTCGGTAAAATGCGTAGCAAAGGCTGCGTTCCGATTACACGATCGATAAAGAGATGTAATAGCGTCATGCTTCGAGATTATAGCTTTGCATGACGCTTTACGAAAGATGGGGTAAAAAATAAGAGAGTACCTGGTAGCTTATCGCGTGATCACGAGCTCATTGTCAATATTGCGCACCGTCATCGTCATCCCCGCGACTGTCAATATTCCGTTTGCACGTATCTCGAGTGTCTCATCGTGCTTGCATGACGACAATGGACGCCATTATCACTCGTCGGGTCCATCGCGATCATCGTCGGCGCATGTGCAAACGCGTCCTCGTGCACCTACTTCAAATCGGTCTCATCAACGGTCGTACCTGTTGCAGGTCGGGAGAAATCGAATCGATCAACTATCTCGTAGAGAACATTATTCTTTCTAATTTGCAATATAATCTCCTTTAATCCTCCGTCGTTTTAAAGATCAACTTATTTCTCAAAAATTCGTTGACTGCCACCCAAACTTGACACGAAACTCCCAGGAATCGAGAATAAAATTCACATCGCGATATACTATGTCACTCAATTTCTACAATATATCACGACCCAACTGTTATTTTTAATTGTAGCACTTTCTCTACAATGCTCACCCAAGCTTCAATTGCAATTTTTACAATATCTCACGTTTAAACGAATATTTTTAATTGTCACACGGTGCACGAGTTAAATTACAATTGTATACAGTCCCCTACATTGCTCAACCATCTCCAATCGACAGTATTAATTTTCCCTTAATTATTCTAAATAGTCCCAGTGATCGTTCGTGACGATCACCCAGCCTCCGCCGAGGAAACTGGTTCGAATCGTGATTGAGCAACATTGGTGGCAGTCAACTCGCGAAGGGAACCATCTGGATGCTAGAACCTCGCGCACGGTCAAACAAAAGAACCGCGAGAAATAATCATCTTCCCTCGAGACGTTTTGTTGTGTCCCCTGACATAGTCCGCGCTATAAGTAAGAAGTTGGAGGCTAATCGTAGCGATTCCGCCGGTTCTTACGTCGCTGCTCTAAACGCAGAGTCGGGTATCGGTGTCCCCGCGGGTCTCCGGGCAAAATGTGAAAGGAAGCCCTAACAATGCGAGCGCCTGTACTTTTACTTACGACCGCGACCGGCACTATACCCCCGGTTTGGCTGTAAATCGCCGATAGGAGCGATTTCTCTAACCGCAATAGGGACGACCGCAAATAGACCAGCGCACTCTCGTGTCCGTAAAAGACACCGTGTACAGCCGCGCTAGTTTGCCGCCAAAAAGACGCGAGAAAAACCGCGTTTCCCCCGGACAGAGACGGAAAAAGGACGAAGAAAGCGCCTTTCTCGACACGAATCTTACCTATCACGCGGATATGTACTAAGAGTACAGCTTTGCTTGGCTTACAGGTCGGTGATCGGGTCTGAGAGGGGAGAAGGAGAGGGGAGATAGAGAATAATAAGAAAGAGGGAGAGAAAGAGAGGGTGTGGAAGTTAGAAGTGCTGGGGTGCTGAGAGACGCACTTGGGCGCGGGGGTTGCGAGGTAAGAGAGAGAAAGAGGAAGTAAGGAGGAAAAAGG